ATAAAAATAAAAAATATGTTAGTTCTTATATATTATTGTGATTCATGGTCAAAGTTCTAGGTGGTTAAGTTCCAATCCACTCCTAAATGTTGTTGCAAATGATCAAATGAAAAATGTATTATTGGCTCAAGAATCATACACACATGTAGCAGTTGATTTTTTTTTTTTTTTTTTTTTTAGTAGTTGAAATAAAATATGCATTTTTACTTGGAAAAAAGTTGTGCATTGAACAATCTACATGTTTTTCGTGAGATGATTCTAATATAGTCTTTGACGTTTGAGTATCATAATTTTTTAAAATGGACGGCTGAAATTATTTATTTTTTGATTTTTTTTAATTAGTAATTTTAATTAAAAATAATTATTTTAAATATATTTTTTATCTTCCAGAAATCATTTCTAATATTTTTGAAATGCTAGAAATAAAAAAAATATTTTTTATTGTTGCAAAGAAAAAAAATATTTAAAATTTAAAAAAAATAATTTTTATAATTAAATTTACTAGTTAAAAATAAATTTAAAACAAATGATCTTAGGGGTCCATTTTATAGAAATTGTGGTAGTCAAAAGCCATAAGACTACATTAGAATTTTCAGTTTTTTTCGTGATATTCTTTAAATTTGCAACTTTAAACTTTTTTTTTTTTTTTTTTTTTTCTTTTTTTTTTTTTTTTTTTACTTTTAAAACGATAATCTATATAGTTGACCAATATCATAAACTAGTACTTCAAAAAAATTGTGATTCTAGCATTAACTAAAGCAAGTTGCTTACTGTCCCATATGAGCAATCAATTGAAAATTTTAGAACTTTTCTTGAGAGCCATGATAACACATCTAAAATGGTGTTTGTTGTCATCTCATCATAACTCATATATAGCTTCTGGAAACGCTTAATAATTAGGATTTGTAAAGTCTTATCTAATTTTTATATTTGTGACCAACTTATATATGATCTTGTAACTACTACTACTGATTATCCATGCATGTGATTTGTCGGTTTACTACCAGAAGAACAAATCATGCTGTTTACTAAAACACTTCACCAACTTACGTTAGTACTATTTTTCGTTAACAATTCAATTTTAATCTATTTTCCTTATATTTTATTTAAGCGTTACCATTTTGAAAAACGACCGTATTCAAAGTGACAATTTCTTTATTTCGAAAGTTTCTACTATTTTAGATTTTTAGGGCATGTGTACCAAAAAAATTGCTTGATATATGGTGTTGGGTGTGATACTAGACCTTAACGAAAAATACTGTGTAGAACGGACTCACGTTCTATTAATCGGCCCACACTCGGCCCGTTTATTTAAAATTCAGCCCGCGCTCGGCCTGAACATTAAATAACCGTCATTAAAAAAAAAAACAAAAACCCAAAGTTCCGCCTTTCTACTTCTTCTTCTCACCCATGTTTTCTGCATTCTCACTCCATTTTCATCGGTATCACTCCGTTACTATCGTCTTAACTTCACGTTTCCGAATTATTCGCATCACTACTTCATTTTCCATCTTTAATTTTATTTGCATGTATTTAATTTTTACTTCTTTTATATAAACCCTAACTTTCGTCATTTTCGACTCCATTAATGGCTGACATTCCGTCGATTAAAGATTCTTCTCTCTTAAAAGTTTATCTTAAATGAAGTAAACAAGCACGATAAAAGGAGAAGACAATTGCAATGGTTGAAAGGTTTATTATATTTCAATTATATTGTTTTTTAAAAAATCCATTTTTATAAGTTATTATTTTGTTCTGTAGGGTCGATTCAGAACCTCCAATAAAGAAGTGTGGTCCTAAACCTGGTTCTAAACGAAGTCGACCTGTTAGGTGTGAAATTCTATTCTATTTAATTCGCAAAAAGACATAGCATTTTGTACTTGTTGTTTTATATAGAATCATTTTTCTTGGGAAACATACCATATCTGGTTATTATATTGTAATTTGATAATAGATTATTTTTGTTAGGATTTACAATTACTTTGTCAGGAATTATATTTTTTCTATCTGAAATTACCTTATTATTCTGTGATAAATTATATATATACAAATTAGCTTGTCTTGAATTTGATTATTTTATTTTGATAATAGTTTATGTTTGTCAGGATTTAGGTTTTTTTTTGTCAGAAATTAATTTCTTTTTGTCAGTATTTAAATTACATCAGTAAGGAATAATATTGCTTCAATCCGAAATAAGATTACTTTTATCAGTAATAAGATATATATGTGATCACATTACATTAGTTAGGGATCGTAATTTTTTCATCGGGAATAAGATTATTTTGGTCAGAAATGAGTTTTTTTTTTATTAGGAAAAAGATATTCAGAAATAAGATTACTATTATCAGGAATAACATAATTATTATCATGAATAAGAATGTTTTATATAGCTCTCAATTTTAATGTGATTTTTTACTTTTCAAATTTTCAGTTCTCTTACTAAAAATGATATTTCAAACTTAGAACTTGGTAATAAATCTGGTCCTAATCATCTTTGTCAAATTCTGGAAGATTTAAGTGATAAGCAAAAGAAGGATGTAAGAGACATTGGTTTTGGTGGATTGCTTCATATGAATTTGAAGGATAATATTAGCCATCAATTGTACGATTATATACACTAGTAGAAAAAACATTATGGGAAGCGGTTCAAACCCCCAAATGGGAAGCGGTTCTGAACCGCATGGGTTTGGGGGGCTTGCCAATTGCCATGTAAATGGCAAGTGGTTCAGAACCGCTTCCCATTTGGGGGGAATGGCAAGCGGTTTGGCACCAAAACCGCTTGCCATTTGCACTTCACATTAGATTATATGTAGTGCAAATGGCAAGCGGTTTGGCGCCAAACCGCTTCCCATTTGTTTTTTTATTTTTTTTGTTTATTTTAATATATATAATTATTAATAATAATAATAATATTATTAGTGACCTGTTTTGATATGCACATTAATCCAATTTTTTAAAAATTATTATTATTATTAATTAATATTATTAATTAATATTAATAATTAGTAATAATTAATTAAAAATATTACAAATTTTGGAATAATAATAATTCAATAACAATAAAATGTATAATAATAATAATAACATATATAAAACTCATAAATAATGTATAGTACTAATTACAAATAAGTAATATAATGTACATATGGATTTACTACATACTAAAAATAAAAAAGATATGGTAACTAATTAATTAAATACTAATTGTTCATAAAAAAAAAAAAACTCAATCAAATTCATTATCTAACTAACACATATATATTATATATTCTACCTAGATGCCATCAAATGTCACAAAAAAAGCCCACATGTCGCAAATTTCATCAACTTCTTCCTTTGTCAAAGGGCCTTCCCTTTTAATCTTACAAACCTTTGAAAAGAAAAAAATACCAAACATTAAACATCATTCATATATTACATAAAATTCAAACTAATAATTAAAAAATAATAATATATATATGTTAAATATTTCAAACATCATTTTAACTTGCCGATTTAGCATTCAACGAACTAAGTTTTAGGACGGCTTTTACATTTCTACATTTCTTATCTAATGAGCTAAAATCTATCATAACATGTCAATTACAACTAGTCTTAGGTGTCTAATGTTTGAAATCATAGAAAATTAGCATTCTTCTAAGTTTTAGGACGGCTTTTACCAAAAATCGCCTATTTGACTTCTAACTTGCCCGATTTCTACATTTCTTATCTAGTGAGAAATTTCTTTATCATAACATGTCAATTATAAGTAGTCTTAGGTGTCTAATGTTTGAAATCATAACAAATTAGCATTCTTCTAATTTTTAGGACGGCTTTTACCAAAAATCGCCTATTTCACTACTACTTTGCCCGTTTTCTACATTTCTTATCTAATGAGCTATTTATCTATCATAACATGTCAATTACAACTAGTCGTAGGTGTCTAATATTTGAAATCATAGAAAATTAGCATTCTTCTAAGTTTTAGGACGGCTTTTACCAAAAATCGCCGATTTGACTTCTAACTTGCCCGATTTCTACATTTCTTATCTAATGAGCAATTTCTCTATCAATGGCAGAAAACATAAATCAGATTCAGGGTTTAAGGGTAACCAGGAGGTCACCAAATATTTCTCACTTATTTTTCGCAGATGATGCAATGCTCTTCTTCAAGGCGGATAAAAGGTCTTGTGCAAATGTGGTTGATATACTGAGTAGACTTGGGAGTATTTCAGGACAGCAACTGAACTTAGACAAGTCCTTTGTCAAGTTTAGTAAGGGTGCTCGGGTGGCGGAGGTTAACGAGTGTAAAAATATTCTTCGTATAGGGCAGGTCCCTATGATGGAGAGGCACTTAGGAGCCCCAATCGATTTTTCAGCAGGGAAGAAAGGGGCTTTCCAGTTCTTAATTGAGAAAATTTCCAAGAGGATTATGTCTTGGAATTCTGTGAATTTGTCCCAGCCGGCGAAATTATTTCTGATTAATACTATGCTGATTAGTATTTCTTCTCATGTTATGAAGTGTTTCAAGGTCCCCCTTTCGGTTACCAATAGGATTGATTCATTGATAGCACGCTTTTTCTGGGCAAATAAAGGCGAAAAGGGGATGCATTGGGTGAAGAGAGATACCTTACAACTTCCAAAAGGTATGGGAGGGTTGGGGATTAGATCTATGGAGTGTTTAAATGAGGCTCTCTTGTTTAAACAGGTTGTTCGAATGCACTGTAATCCGCAATTATTAGTAGCCAGAGTGTTGGAGCCAATCCACAATTGCTCCATTTGCATTGGACGACCAAAACCTGGGGGGATAGGTAATATCTCCTGGGGGCGGAGAGGCCTCCGGGATGTGGGGAATAAACTGATAAAAGGTTATGCTTGGAAAGTTGGGGATGGGGAGACAGTGCGAGCAAATATGAAGTGGGTTCAGGGGGAAGTCCCGGAGCTTAAGTGAAATCTTACCCTTAGAGGAGTAGGTTCAGGAAGAGTTAAAGACCTACTGTTTCATAATCCGAGATGGTGGAATGCAGCGATTGTTAGAGAAAGGTTTGAATGGGACTCGGCTAGGAAGATATTGGAGTTGGAACTACCGACAACTGATGAAGAAGACCTTCCTTTCTGGAATCATCATCCCTTGGGTAACTATACTGTTAAAACTGGGTATGCTTTTTTAATTCGTATTTTTTCTTTGGAACAGGATAATAATCGGGATTTTTCCTTCTACAAACTAATCTGGAAGCTTAATATTCCATCAAAGTGGAGTTTATTCCTATGGAAGCTGTGTCGAAATGGAGTGGCTGTTAAGCACAACCTGATCCAACGAGGAGTGGAAATTGATGGGGGGTGCGACTCTTGTGGGATGGAAAAGGAAGATATTCAACATATTTTTAGATTATGCTCGTTTGCGAGATATTCATGGAATAATTGTTCTTTGCATATTAACTCAGAAATGGATGGATCTACTCCCTTGGGACACTGGATTCAGAGTCATATCCTGCTTTTTCATAGCGAGGATGGGAAGCACAGTAGTAGGATACATGTGTTTGTGGGCACTTTGTGGAGCCTCTGGTTAACTAGGAACGGAAGGGTATTCAGAAATGAAGGCGGGTATCTGGATGATTTTTATAGACATTATAATCAATCTATGAAAACTCTTGTTTCATTCCTCACACCTAAAGTGAGGTCCAGGGAGGCACTACAATTATCAGATAATGGGGGAGGTCAGCCGCCAGGTTTTAGAAGATTTAATATTGGACGGTGTGGTACTCTCCTGGAGACACCCATGGGTGAAAGTAGTCAGGTGGTGATTATGGTCGATGGCTCATGGATGAAAAGCACGGGCCATGCAGGCTTTGGATGGGCTTATTCCTCAAATGCAGAGGATTTTCAGGAAGGAGGAGGGGATTTTGGCACTGCCCTATCGGCACTTCATGCGGAACTATTAGCTTGCCTTAAAGCTATTAGGTAGGCTAGCTCGAAAGGGTACCAGCGCGTCACGATTTACACAGACTCTAATGCTATTATCCAACACTTGCAACACCCAAAGAGTAGAGAAGTGAGGCTTCTCTGGACCTTCGGAGATTTACTAAAGGAAGGTCGACTTTTGGAAAATTGTACTATCTGGAAAGTTGATAGAAGTCAGCTTTCTATGGCGCATGATATTGCGGGAAGGTGTAGAAAGGGACTACTTAGCTTTACGATGTAATTTTTCTTTTAGTTGCTTTTGTCAAAAAAAAAATGTCAATTATAACTAGTCTTAGGTGTCTAATGTTTGAAATCATAGCAAATTAGCATTCTACTAAGTTTTAGGACGGCTTTTACCCGAAATCGCCTATTTCACTACTACTTTGCCCGTTTTCTACATTTCTTATCTAATGAGCTATTTATCTATCATAACATGTCAATTACAACAAGTCTTAGGTGTCTAATGTTTGAAATCATAGCAAATTAGCATTCTTCTAATTTTTAGGACGCCTTTTACCAAAAATCGCCTATTTCATTACTACTTTGCCCGTTTTCTACATTTCTTATCTAATGAGCTATTTATCTATCATAACATGTCAATTACAACAAGTCTTAGGTGTCTAATAATTGAAATCATAGCAAATTAGCATTCTTTTAATTTTTAGGACGGCTTTTACCAAAAATCGCCTATTTCACTACTACTTTGCCCGTTTTCTACAGTTCTTATCTAATGAGCTATTTATCTATCATAACATGTCAGTTACAACTAGTCTTAGGTGTCTAATGTTTTAAATCATAGAAAAATATCATTTTACTCAGTTTTAGGACGACAATTACCCAAAATCGCCTATTCCACTTCTACTTGCCCATTTTTTTACATTTTTTTCCGTTTGGAATTTTTTTTTCACAAACATTGCTTATAATACACTAACAATGCAAGTACGTAAAAATTACACAAAATTGCATGAACGACTCGGTTTCTTGAACGGATGCTGCCTGGGCTGCTGCAGGAGGAGGCAGCTGCAGCTGCCTGTGCAACTCTCTGGTGGCTGCTGCTGCAGCTGCCAGGTGGCTGCTGCTGCAGCTGCCAGGTGGCTGTTGCGGCTGCCTAGGCTGCGACTGCCTGTGCAGCTGCCTAGGCTGCTGCTGCTGCTGCCTGTGCAGCTGCCTAGGCTGCTGCTGCGACTGCCTGGCAGTTGTTGCAGTTTGGTGGCTGGCTGCTTGCAGCTGCCTGGCATAACCCGAGGCTGTTGCCTCGGGTGCTGTAGTTGCCTCAGGTGCTCACTTTCCCAATTTCTACATTTCTTACCAAATGAGAAATTTCTTTATCATAACATGTCAATTATAAATAGTCTTACGTGTCTAATGTTTGAAATCATTGCAAATTACCATCATACTAAGTTTTAGGACGGCTTTTACCCGAAATCGCCTATTTCACTACTACTTTGCCCGGTTTCTTCATTTCTTATCCAATGAGCAATTTATTTATCATAACATGTCAATTATAACTAGTCTTAGGTGTCTAATGTTTGAAATCATAGGAAATTAGCATTCTACTAAGTTTTAGGACGACTTTTACCCAAAATCGTCTATTTCACTACTACTTTGTCCGATTTCTACATTTCTTATCTAATGAGCAATTTCTTTATCGTAACATGTCAATTATAAATAGTCTCACGTGTTTAATGTTTGAAATCATTGCAAATTACCATTATACTAAGTCTTAGGACGGCTTTTACCCGAAATCGCCTATTTCACTACTACGTTGCCTGATTTCTACATTTCTTATCTAATGAGCTATTTCTTTATCATAACATGTCAATTACAACTTGTCTTAGGTGTCTAATGTTTGGAATCATAACAAATTATCATTATACGTAGTTTTAGGACGACTTTTACCCGAAATCGGATCGGAAAAAAGTAAAAACAAGTACCTCCTCAATGTGTTGGGCTTTAGTGCACCTATTGACTATGTCATGCATAAACCTCATCACTTATAGGGCACAGTCAACGTCGTTGTCTTGTTGCGCACACTAAAATGACACAAAGTTAAAATAGTCATGCTATGATAAAACTCAAGGCAATTTTATTAAATAAATCAATATATCAAGGCTTTACCTTCGCATATTTCCACGTGGGACCCGCAACCGAACGACAATTCAACTTCTTCATAACACTTCAAAAAAATAAAAAACAAACGATTTAGGAACATAGCCACTCAATCACTTAGGTGACGATACAAAACAAAATATATAAAGCGGTATGTACCTATTCAATAGGCTATTCACTAGCAACTTCTTTGGTGGCCATATAAAAGCCGAGTCAAAGTAGTAGATTGTGTTATTGGAAACACAAATCACCATAAGGCTCCAATGTAGACTACATGTATATTAAAGCAAATATCAATCCATCAATTGTTATGCGTCAACATCTATACTTAACAAACAAATTAAGAGTGACATATTTAAACTTACTCCTCAAAACAAGGGGCTAATAAGAACTTGTTTCCCGCACGCATTGATTCTCTAATACCCCGCTCAAGGTAATCTATCACATCACGAGGGTTATGCAAGCATTTGGTTACGCAGGTCTGCTCGGGCCATAACCACCCAACTGCTGCTTCACCATCGGGTTTACTAGCAAGGAGCTCATGTAGTGACCTTCAAGAAAGTAATGTGTGCAAGTAATTACTAATTGCATTGTTTTGGTACGAAAATATCAAAAATACTATATGTGTAGAAATAGTCTCGTTAATTTACCTCATGAATGTTTGAATGATGGAAATGTTAAGCATGGAACCGGTTAGAAATTCCGTCACATCCTCTCTAGAAATGTATGCGATCGAATCCTCATCATAGTGGAACAATGCCTTAGGCAAGTTCACTTGAATATGTGTACCCGTAGGCAACTCACTAACACGGTTGTGAAGAAAAGTACACGCTTTCGAAAGCGGCCTAAGGACTTTGGCTTCTACTAGTGGAGTACATGAAGCTCTCGAACTCTTCTTCGACACTTGTCCTTGTTCCATCTTCGGAGGACCTTCTTCCTTGGATTTTTGCTTCTCCACCTTCTTCCTTTTAGCGGAATGAATTTCCATAGTAATCTAGTAGCATAAAAAAACATGGTCATTGCACAAAGCACATGTTAATCTAGTTACATACAAGTAGTTACATACAAGTATTGTTTACTTACCCCTCCTACCAACCTCAACCGATCACGTGGCCATTTCACAAAGCTCCCGGTTGCGTCACGCAGCTTAAAAAAATCATATTCCTCTCTAGGCACCGGTAGTGGTAAGTCCTCAAACCCAACAACTATAGAATCGATCCCGACCGAGATGTAATGGGTGCTAGTATTAGACTTAAAATGCACCTTGTCAAAAGGTTATGCACTACCATACCCGACCAACTGCAACTGTCCACCAGTTGTTTCCCCAGGGTGAAGAAGCTCACAAGGCGTCTCTTCCTACATATTTGGTTAGGAGTTAGGACATAAGTTAAGAAATAATAAACGAAAGCCTAACATAAGAAAAGCTGATTACATAGTGAAGTTCACCTTAACATCTGGGAAAGGTTCAGGCATCGGATTTGCTCTCTTCAGAGACTCTGCATCCATAGTACTTGGATCCTGCAAAAGTAAAATAGTTAAACATGCAAATGACCTCATTAGACGAACTTCATATGACGTAATTCGTCCTTGTAATAAAATTACCTCTCTCTCAACTACTGGATCGTCCTCGGGGCCTCTTGGGTGACTACATGAGTCTACTGGGGTACTCGTAGGAAATGGCAAAGGCGGAAAGTTCATGTGCTTCAGAATGGCATTGAATTGACTTTGCATCTGTTCTTGCAGCTCCGCGCGTATCTCCGCCTTAATTGATTCCTTTTCCTTCTCATCAATCCGATGTGGCGAATTAACACTTGATCTGCTTTTTGTTGATTTGGTGTATTCTGAACCCATCACCTTCTCCCACCCTAGTTGTTTCCCGCCAAAACCAATTACTCGCCCAGGGTGGTATGGTTTTCCCAAAGCTAAGGTGAAAGGATCATGTTCGATGCTTGGAGTCAGCTTGCCTTCAATCACTTCCGAAGTATGCTCGAGCTTTATCAACACAATAATTTATCAGATCTTAGTACAATGTACTTGACAAGGAAATATAATTAATAAGTAGAAAAATTTTCTTACAAGTGCATCTGCTACTACTTTCTTATCCGGTTGCATGACATACTTGTCGGTTTCCTTGTCCATCCCATGCATAGCACACCACCAGTCGATTGCACGATTAACCAAAGTTGTGACCATGGAAGAAAGTGGTTTATCAGTTGATGACATTATGGATTTCGGGTATAGACCCGCTTTAACCCACTTTGGTCTTGACTCTGCAAAGGTCTTACAACCCATATGATGGCTATACAATTTCTTTCCGGCATTGATTCTAGCTTGTTCGCTTTTTTCCTACACATTCAGAAATATATGTTAGCATCAGTCATTGTAAGAAACTAAATATGAGTAGCCGACTCTATTGATAAATAAAAACATACAAGTGCGGCCCTAGTGGAAGATTTTTCCACAAACTTCTCCCAATCATCCACCGTTATTTGTGGATATAAATCCCACGGTTTCTTATCAGGTTTCTCTTCTTCTCCATCTGCAGGCACATTTTTCTTTGGTCTTCTCTTTCTTCTCTTATGGATCCATCTCGTCCTCAAGTAACTCTTGAAGTTTTTGAATCTCTCCTTTACAAAAGCTTCAAAGACTTTTCTCTTGGCCGGCTCATCAGGAATATGGAACATACTCTGTAATTGGCGCAAACATCCACGTTAGGCAAGAGAAAAAAAATGAAAAAAAAATGAAAAAAAAACCCGAGAATCGGGCAAGGCAGCAGCTGTAGCAGCCCAGGGCAGCTGCAGCACCCAGGCAGTAGCCCCGGGCAGCTGCAGCACCCAGGCAGCAGCCCCGGGCAGCTGCAGCACCCAGGCAGCAGCCCCGAGCAGCTGCAGCACC